CCCTCTCACTCCCCTCTCCCACTGCAGGTGATGGAGTCCCAGCAAGAACAAAAACAAAAACCGGGAGCGCCGGATGGTGAACCTACGGCCCCGGCTGGGACTGAACCCCCATCACAAGCGTCCCCTGGCAGTGGGACTGATCCTCCGGGGGCTGGGGCTGATCCCCCTGCAGATAAATCCCTTGAGGCTGGGGTTCAAACCCCTGCAGATAAACCCCTAGAGGCTGGGGTTCAATCCCCAGCCGATGGGTCCACGACCCAGAAGGCGGTTTCCCCCCGCGACGCCCCACTGCGTATCCCCCAGCGTGGGGACGAGGATTACTTCGAGGCCCTGGGGCTGGTGGTGGGGAGGCTGCAGGCCGACCATGAGCAGGAGTCTACGGCCTGCGCTGACCTGCTGGGGGCGCTGCTGGAGCACTCGGAGGGCCTGTACAGTCCTACCGCCGCCGCCGCAGTCCACGCACATCAGGCCCATACACACGGCCTGCATGGCTACCTCAATGTCAACAGGTGGGTGGCCTGCATGGCTACCTTAATGTCAACAGGTGGCCTGCATGGCTACCTCAATGTCAACAGGTGGGTGGCCTGCATGGCTACCTTAATGTCAACAGGTGGCCTGCATGGCTACCTCAATGTCAACAGGTGGGTGGCCTGCATGGCTACCTCAATGTCAACAGGTGGGTGGCCTGCATGGCTACCTCAATGTCAACAGGTGGGTGGCCTGCATGGCTACCTTAATGTCAACAGGTGGGTGGCCTGCATGGCTACCTTAATGTCAACAGGTGGGTGGCCTGCATGGCTACCTTAATGTCAACAGGTGGGTGGCCTGCATGGCTACCTTAATGTCAACAGGTGGGTGGCCTGCATGGCTACCTTAATGTCAACAGGTGGGTGGCCTGCATGGCTACCTTAATGTCAACAGGTGGGTGGCCTGCATGGCTACCTTAATGTCAACAGGTGGGTGGCCTGCATGGCTACCTTAATGTCAACAGGTGGGTGGCCTGCATGGCTACCTTAATGTCAACAGGTGGGTGGCCTGCATGGCTACCTTAATGTCAACAGGTGGGTGGCCTGCATGGCTACCTTAATGTCAACAGGTGGGTGGCCTGCATGGCTACCTTAATGTCAACAGGTGGGTGGCCTGCATGGCTACCTTAATGTCAACAGGTGGGTGGCCTGCATGGCTACCTTAATGTCAACAGGTGGGTGGCCTGCATGGCTACCTTAATGTCAACAGGTGGGTGGCCTGCATGGCTACCTTAATGTCAACAGGTGGGTGGCCTGCATGGCTACCTTAATGTCAACAGGTGGGTGGCCTGCATGGCTACCTTAATGTCAACAGGTGGGTGGCCTGCATGGCTACCTTAATGTCAACAGGTGGGTGGCCTGCATGGCTACCTTAATGTCAACAGGTGGGTGGCCTGCATGGCTACCTTAATGTCAACAGGTGGGTGGCCTGCATGGCTACCTTAATGTCAACAGGTGGGTGGCCTGCATGGCTACCTTAATGTCAACAGGTGGGTGGCCTGCATGGCTACCTTAATGTCAACAGGTGGGTGGCCTGCATGGCTACCTTAATGTCAACAGGTGGGTGGCCTGCATGGCTACCTTAATGTCAACAGGTGGGTGGCCTGCATGGCTACCTTAATGTCAACAGGTGGGTGGCCTGCATGGCTACCTTAATGTCAACAGGTGGGTGGCCTGCATGGCTACCTTAATGTCAACAGGTGGGTGGCCTGCATGGCTACCTTAATGTCAACAGGTGGGTGGCCTGCATGGCTACCTTAATGTCAACAGGTGGGTGGCCTGCATGGCTACCTTAATGTCAACAGGTGGGTGGCCTGCATGGCTACCTTAATGTCAACAGGTGGGTGGCCTGCATGGCTACCTTAATGTCAACAGGTGGGTGGCCTGCATGGCTACCTTAATGTCAACAGGTGGGTGGCCTGCATGGCTACCTTAATGTCAACAGGTGGGTGGCCTGCATGGCTACCTTAATGTCAACAGGTGGGTGGCCTGCATGGCTACCTTAATGTCAACAGGTGGGTGGCCTGCATGGCTACCTTAATGTCAACAGGTGGGTGGCCTGCATGGCTACCTTAATGTCAACAGGTGGGTGGCCTGCATGGCTACCTTAATGTCNTCCGCCGTGATTCGTCACTAGGGTGTTGGGCTGCGCACGAGGCCGTGCACGCTCGACCACTTGGAGTCCTTCAGCCCGAAGACGCGCGATGGAAACCGAGTCAGCATCATGCCAGGTCTCGGTCAAGAAGACGACATCCAGAGAGCGCGAGCGGCGGATGTGAAGGAACTCATCAACTTTGTTGTTTAGTGAACGGATGTTTAGGCTGCCGAACATTAACCGGCGACACGACCGCGCGGAGTGACGATCGACATGGACGCTACGCAGGTTATGAGGCCTGCGAGCCGGCACAGGTCCACGTTCAGCAGCAGAAGAATCAGCCGACGTACAGTCTAGCACAGATGGCTGCCGTCGTGGCAACGGCCGATTGCCAATTATCACAAACGCACCACCGTTGCACGTAACCCGATACATGGCGGCAGTACGCCTCTTACGACCGGCACGGCATCCGCGATAAGACAGACGAGGGGCGGGAATAGCAACGAGCAGATCGACTCTTTGACGGACGGATGGTTCGAGGGTTGCAGCGGCTGGCCGCAGGCCAAGCAGCTGCATTGTCGAGTAGGCTAGTGGTGCCATGGATATCATCATATCAGCCCGATTCAACTCACGTACCAAATTGTAAAAAGCAATGTCAGACCTCTAAAAAATCAAGTAGAAGACCTGTATGTAGAACGTCGAGACGATCATTCAAAAAATCCGTGGAATCAGGTCGAACGAAGGCTAGCATCACAGGGCTTGCATCAGCCAAGTAGGCAGTTGATAGCCAAGGGTGGAAAAAACGAACTGAGCCGGAAAACGAACTGCACTCGTGCACAGTGATCACTTAGACACAATATTCACTGTAAAACGGTCCACGCAAGGAAGTCATCTTGTCAATCGGTTGTTTAAAGATTCACGAAGATCATACTATATGACACTGGCCTAAGTTGCAAACACAGGAATAAAGGATTGACGGAGCAGCGCACATCCGCTTGCAGCCACAGCCGGCGCACGAATGTATTATTGGAATTGTTCATATATATAAATAAAATTATCCATATTTATTATTAGAATTATTCATATACAATAATAAATGTTTACCCACTCGCCCACTCAGGAGTGTGACGCTGCAGGCGCTCACGGACGCTGAGAGGGACATCTGGATGAGTGGGCTGGAGAGGGCGGGCCGAGAGGGCGGCTACACTCGGGGCACCTCCAGCCCACTCCTGCCCAGCCCTGCCCACTCCTCGCCCACTCCTGCCTCCATACTGGGTACTGTGTGGGCTGTGTGGGTACTGTGGCTGTGTGGGTACTGTGTGGGCTGTGGGTACTGTGTGGGCTGTGTGGGTACTGTGGCTGTGTGGGTAGCCGTACGGTAACTGTAACGACTGTAACCGTAACGACTGTAACCGTAACGACTGTAACCGTAACGACTGTAATTGTAACGACTGTAACTGTAACGACTGTAACCGTAACGACTGTAACTGTAACGACTGTAACGGTAACGACTGTAACTGTAACGACTGTAACTGTAACGNACCGTGACTGTAACGACTGTAACCGTGACTGTAACGACTGTAACCATGACTGTAACGACTGTAACCGTGACTGTAACGACTGTAACCGTGACTGTAACGACTGTAACCATGACTGTAACGACTGTAACCGTGACTGTAACGACTGTAACCGTGACTGTAACGACTGTAACCATGACTGTAACGACTGTAACCGTGACTGTAACGACTGTAACCGTGACTGTAACGACTGTAACCATGACTGTAACGACTGTAACCGTGACTGTAACGACTGTAACCGTGACTGTAACGACTGTAACCATGACTGTAACGACTGTAACCGTGACTGTAACGACTGTAACCGTGACTGTAACGACTGTAACCATGACTGTAACGACTGTAACCGTGACTGTAACGACTGTAACCGTGACTGTAACGACTGTAACCATGACTGTAACGACTGTAACCGTGACTGTAACGACTGTAACCGTGACTGTAACGACTGTAACCATGACTGTAACGACTGTAACCGTGACTGTAACGACTGTAACCGTGACTGTAACGACTGTAACCATGACTGTAACGACTGTAACCGTGACTGTAACGACTGTAACCATGACTGTAACGACTGTAACCATGACTGTAACGACTGTAACCGTGACTGTGACGACTGTAACCGTGACTGTGACGACTGTAACCGTGACTGTGACGACTGTAACCGTGACTATGACGACTGTAATCGTAACGACTGTAACCGTAACTGTAACCGTGACTGTGCAGGGTCGGCGACGGGGCAGACATTCCTGTCCAGTATGGGACAGTTCCTGTCGTCCAAGTTACAGTCCGTGAGCCTGGGGGGCGCCCCCGCCCACCTGGGGGGCAGCGGGCTCCCCACCTACAGCCTCCCCAAGCCCACCAAGCCCAAGCCCCTGCAGGAGAGGGACACCCGCAGGGAGGTGGGGTCATGTCACGGGGAGGTGGGGTTATGTCACGGGGAGGCGGGGTTATGTCACGGGGAGTTGGGGCCACAACCCCTGCGGGGTGAGGTTAACGATGGAATCTTTGGGGTGGTTCCATCGTCTATGGGTTCGATTTGTCCGGTGACAATCTGGTATCTCATTATATTTATTATTATTATATTATAATTATATTATATCATTACATTATATATCAGATGTGACAGACGTAGGTATATATTCACGTGACGTGATAGATTGATAGAAAATAAGTATAGACCTGAGTCGGCGTCTGGACAACATCACGCGCTGAAGACCTCAGCAGTGGGCGGAGGCCGAGACTATACAAAAGTGCTGGCAACCTTATATGTTCCCCCTGAAGCTGACAAGGACGTCGCTATGTAACTAGCGTTAGAGTTGCTACGGCCTAACGGTCGACGTCTTAGCCTATACCTGTACCGTATCTCTCATGTATAACACCCCGTATACTGTACAGTATCCCTCATGTATAACAACCCGTATATTGTAACTCATGTCTTACCACCCCGTATGGAGATCTGGGCCTATACTTTCAAAAAAAGTTAAGAGATCGTAAGTTCATCAGCCAATCATTGACGGCCTTTCAAGCAAAATCCACCAATCATAGACAAGAAAATAGAGCGTAAGTACTTACGTTCACTTAGCCAGTTTTTAAAGAATAGCCCCAGTTATCTAGACAGATGGTGTCTTACTTATCCCTCACGTCTTAGTCTACGAACCCTTCTCTGCCCTGTAGGCGCATAAACGTGCATCTGGGACATATTATTGTCCAGGGGTTCGATTGTCCAGAGGTTCGATTATCCAGGGGTTCAATTGTCCAGGGGTTCAATTGTCCAGGGGTTCAATTGTCCAAGGGTTCTATTGTCCAGGGGTTCGATTGTCCAGGGGTTCGATTGTCCAGGGGTTCGATTGTCCAGGGGTTCGATTGTCCAAGGGTTCTATTGTCCAGGGGTTCGATTGTCCAGGGGTTCGATTGTCCAGGGGTTCGATTGTCCAGGGGTTCTATTGTCCCGGGGTTCATTTGTCCAATAGTTCGATTGTCCAGGGGTTCGAGTATCCAGGGGTTCTATTGTCCAGGGGTTCAATTGTTCAGGGGTTCGATCGTCCAGGGGTTCAATATTGTCCAGGGGTTCTATTGTCCAGGGGTTCTATTGTCCCGGGGTTCTTTTGTCCAGGGGTTCGATTGTCCAGGGGTTCGATTATCAAAGGGCTCTTTTGTCAGGGGTTCTATTCTCCTGGGGTTCAATTGTGCAGAGTTTTATAATTCAGGGGTTCTAAAGCTCCTCTCACCCCCCAGATCGGGGGCGGGGGGGCCATCAGCGCGAACGCCCCCATCGTGTTCGACTTAGGACCCCTGCAGGGGCTGGGGTCCGCCCCCCAGACCCCCAGCAAGACCGAGGGGCAGGCCTTCGACGCGGCCTTCCTGGGCTCCATGCCCGTCAACGTGGCGACCGGTCCGTGCTCCACTTTATATATAATTGTATAAATTAATTAAATTAAGTACCGTAATTGATTAAATTAGTTAATTTAATTACATTGACTAATTTAGATTAAATAAACTAAAATGACTAATTGAATTAAATTAAATAATTGAAGTGTATTAATGATTGAATTATATTAAATGATTGAATTCAAATTAAACAATTGAATTCAAATTAAACAGTTGATTTTAAATCAAACAATTGTCTGAAATTAATAATCGAATTAATTAATAATTGAATTGGTTAGTTGAACAATTAATTATTAATTCAATTGAATAAATAAAATAATTTCTCGGAAAATTCGTAGAATTATCAATAATTAATTATTATCATTGTAAGCTACAAGTAGGAGAAGTAGGAATCTTTACTTAAGGGACGGCGACCGGTTGTATATATGAAGGTCGTGAATATTATACCTGTATAATATATGAATATTATACAGGTCGTATAAATGTAGTAACGTGACGCTCTATATACTAACCGTGCTGCTAAAATATTTTATTGTGCGTACGTTATTTTTTGTTATTAGTAATACTAATGAGGTATTATTCATTATTATTGTTGATTAATAATTAATAAATAATTATATCTCTATATCCTTATTAATTTGAAAATTACATTATTTCACAAGCTACTAAGTACTACTAACCCCCGTCCCCGTGACAGGCCCCGTCTCTAACCCCCGTCCCCCGTGACAGGCCCCGTCTCTAACTCTAACCCCCGTCCCCGTGACAGGCCCCGTCTCTAACCCCCGTCCCCGTGACAGGCCCCGTGACAGTCATCAGCGAGGTGATCAGACGGGTGATGAGTGCCCGTGCGCACCACAACCTCTTCTCGTCTACACCCGTCGTTTTGACGGTAGCCACGCCGTACCTGACGGTGACGGGCAGACAGGACCTCGCCGAGCACCCAGACAGTAACTGCTACAGACAGAGATACAAACTGACGGCGTTGACGGGCTGGTGCACCCACAGGGAGAACCCGAGGTGGGTGACGGGGGACTGTCTGTCTGTTGCGTGCCTGTCTGTCTGTCTGTTGCGTGCCTGTCTGTCTGTTGCGTGCCTGTCTGTCTGTCTGTTCGGGTACATGTAACACCTCCACGCAGGCTGTTCGGGTACATGTAACACCTTCACGCAGGCTGTTCGGGTACATGTAACATCGGGTACGTGGTGCGTGGTGTGTCCAGCCTGCAGTGCTGGGTGTATCATGTAACACCTTCACGCAGGCTGTTCGGGTACGTGGTGCGTGGTGTGTCCAGCCTGCAGTGCTGGGTGTATCATGTAACACCTCCACGCAGGCTGTTCGGGTACGTGGTGCGTGGAGTGTCCAGCCTGCAGTGCTGGGTGTATCAGTGTGATGACGACGCGTCGCGGGTGTGCCGCGCCATCACCATAGCGGACGACCCGCACGCCCGGGACAAGGAGCGCTCCCTCATCCTCGCCAACATCGCACAGCTCGAGGACGACCCCCATCGCGGGGATGACGGAGTGATACACCCTACTGGGGGTGAGTTGGGGGAGAGGGGTGGGGGAGTAGTCGCCTAAATGCGGGTGAGTTGGGTTAGAGTGAAGGGAAACCAGCGGATTAGTTGGGGAGAGAGGTGACCCACCCAACTGTAGGTGAGTTAGGGGAGAGGGGAAATACTACACCCAACAGCGGGTGAATTGGGGGATAGGGGTGGAGTAGTAGTCGCCTAAAAGCGGGTGAGTTGGGTTGGGGTGAAGGGAGACCAGCAGGTGAGATGCGGTGAAGGGAGACCAGCGGGTTAGTTGGGGAGAGGGGTGCTCCACCCAACCTTGGGTGAGTTGGGGGGATGGGTGATCATTAGGGGGTGAAGTACTATTCACTTAAAAGCGGGTGAGTTTGGTAGAGGAGGAATCAACTGAGTTCGGGTGAAGGATGAAAGGTTGAAGAGTTCCCTGAAATACTCACCCACCAACGGTTTGTGAGGTACTACTAGAATAGAATAGAAGTGTCGGCGTTGAAGAAATAGGCCCATGGCCATGGTATTTCACCCACCGCTGGCTGAAATGCTTTTATAAACTACTTCATTCAAATAGTAACTTCACACACAACGCATTAGTCACAGACTCAGACAATGGAATCAATACCAGATCCTATATCCCGGCTCATCTTTCCCCTCTTGATTTCAATTAATTCCCCTCTTAATTTAATTATATATGGTCCCGCACTCACGGGTGAGTTCGGAAGGAGTGGGATGAGATAACTCCCCCGTCACCCTATGGGTATGAATATCATGTGGTGTTGCAGACGCTGCTGGGGGGCTGGACGCTGAGGTGCTGGAGGAGCTGGACGCGCTCACAGACGACCAGCTGGCGGAGATGGAGGCCGAGATACAGGAGGGCGGCTACGTGCTGGAGTGAGGCGCCCCTACATCAGGGCGGCTACGTGCTGGAGTGAGGCGCCCCTACATCAGGGCGGCTACGTGCTGGAGTGAGGCGCCCCTACATCAGGGCGGCTACGTGCTGGAGTGAGGCGCCCCTACGTCAGGGCGGCTACGTGCTGGAGTGAGGCGCCCCTACGTCAGGGCGGCTACGTGCTGGAGTGAGGCGCCCCTACGTCAAGGACGGCGCCCCTACGTCAGGGGCGGCGCCCCTACGTCAAGGGACAACCCCTCACTAACGCAAGAAAGTGCATCGATATTTTGACGACGTCTCCCTCATTTTTTTCAATGACGATTGACTTTCATTGTACCGCTTTTCCCTATATGTACGACGACTTGAATGAGTTTCTAGATATTGTGCGTTATCTAGAAGCTATTCCTCGCTGAATATAGGGTTACTTGCAGCTAGAAACCCCTTCTAAGTTCCGGAATATCTAGTAATATTAACAGCAATGTCTAATAATGTCTAGTAACGTTAACAATCCTGGTTATGGTGTAGCAGTCGAAGCTTGGAGGTCAGTTTGCCGGCTTAATTCTCTCCTATTTATTTAATTTTTTTATTTTTGTTTTGACTTCCGCATGATTGCAGTTTTTGGAAAATTGAACGTTAATAATTTTCTTTACACTGATGTTGTTAGTAAAGCCCAATCTACACTCATAAAAAAAACGTTGCATTGTCCTAATTGCGACGTACGAATAATACGTAAAGAATAGTTCGAATAATAATTTAAATAATAATAAATAAATAATAATTTATCACTCATTTCTTTGGGAGATGACAATTCGTACCTAACGTGTAGGTTTCCCAGTTTATTATTACTATTTTATTGATATTATTTTTTATATATGATCTTTTTATTATTTTTTTTTATTATTTTTATTTTTCAAGTTTTAGCTTGTACATTTATTAACAAATGCGGACGTGACGGCAAAATTTATCCTAATTTAATATTGAAATTTTCTAACTAAGTACATTTTGAAAAATTATTAACTGCGAGCAGGTTTTTTTAAGGATCAATACTGCATTTATTAATATTTTTAATGGTGATGTTCACTCTCTTTGTACGTTTCTTAATATCTCAATTATATAAATTATAAAAAAAATAATCGAAACAAATTATGCTGTTCAAGAAAACTTTAATATTTTTCTATTTTTATTTTCATTTGCTATCGTTATTTCATAATGAATTTCTATAACATTTTCGAGTAACTAATGAACTACAATATATATATATATAATAGCATATATGAGCTTACATAGCAACTAATATCATTAATTCAAATTACTTATCTTTGTATTATATTCATTCTGTTCACATTTCTTATGCCGTTGTTTAATGCTTACCATTTTTTATTTTAAAATCAACATTTATTTATAAATTGTGTTGAATTTCTCGCAATTCATCGTGAATAAAATGAATTTGTTTGTAACTTCATGAATTTAGTTACGGTTCACAGTGACTCAGAACCCGTGATTGGTTCTCATCATTGATGTTGTCTTACCCCGTACGATGTTAGGTTCTAATCTAATTTAATAATGTTATAATAAGCAAGTTGTGTAACATTAATATAATAATCTATAACAATATTAAGAATATTTGTTGCGATATAGCGAGATATTTCGCCAGTTCTGCTGCTAACGGCGCTAGTCAAGTTCTGTATCTGGTTCCTATATTCTGTAATTTTTTCTGAACTACCAATTTTTTTTTCAACGCTTTTTCCATCAGAAACGGTTTTTCAACAGAACCGCTTATTTCGTCACAACCGTTTTTTTCATTAAACCCGTTTTTCTTTCATAAGAACCGTTTTTTTCAACGTGACCGTTTTTTTTCATCAGAGATGTTTTTTTTTTCATCAGAACCTTTTTTTTCATCAGAACCGATTTTTATGCCAAACCCTTACTTTGATATAAGTGCAATTTAATTGCAATTAACGAGGTTCTACCAATACCTTAAGTTCTCTTGTGTTCTAATATTATTAACAAATGATTGTTATAATTAATTAATAAACTCTAATGATAATTATGGCTATCACTGGTGCATGAAATATATTACAATTTGTTGTGTCGTCATCGTTGATATTTTTTGTTGAATACCGAGGAAGAAATTCAACTTATTCATGTATTGTGTGATGATATCGTACGTGTGGTGCGTGGTGTTGTGGTGTTAATGGCCACCATTTTACCTTAGGATAGTCAAGTAGTATTTTCATGCGTCAATTGCCTATTTTCATGCGTAAATTGCCTATTTCCATTCGGCAATTGCGTATTTTCATGCGTAAATTTGCGTATTTTCATGCGTAAATTTGCGTATTTTCATGCGGCAATTGCGTATTTTCATGCGGCAATTGCGTATTTTCATGCGGCAATTGCGTATTTTAACACGGCAGCTTCGCATTTTCACGCGGCAATTTCGTATTTTCATGCGGCAATTGCGTATTTTCATCGGCATGCGTCAATTGCCTATTTTCATGCGTCAATTGCCTATTTTCATGCGTCAATTGCCTATTTTCATGCGTCAATTGCCTATTTTCATGCGTCAATTGCCTACTCTTATGCGGAAATTGCGTATTTTCATGCGGCAATGTTCACCTCTAGCTAACATTGACTAGCGATAGGTGAACTATTCTCAACTAGTGACACACTAGCAGAAAAAAACAAGTGACATGGTCGACAGCAGCTAGTGATCTAGTGTAGTGCGTGGTGCTATTTTCAACTAGTGTTATACTAGTAAATTTACAGGAAAATAGCTAAAATTAGCTAGAAAATAATTCTAAATTTTTGGCGTTTGTAACGTAGCAGCCCCAGGCCACGCTCATCCCATAGCCAAATAATTAAGATATATAAAAAATATATTATTTACATCCATTTCTACAAACTCTTCTTTCATTTTCAGTCAAATTATGGCAATGGTGCAGGGTATGATGAAGAGATTGTGAAGTGCATCGCACTTTACTTCCCTCAATTCCGCGAATAATATTTAATTATTTTACAATATAAATCGAGTTCATTGTTTTTCACTGTACTAATGTTGCTAGTTAATAGTTGCCGACACTATTACTGGTCATTGTCATGACTGTCATGAAAGATTTGATTTTTTGCTGAAATGTGCTCGTTACCACACTCCCCACCTCTTGTATGTCAATTATTATGTATAACGAAACAATGTATAGACGTGTATGTGTTCCTGTATAGAGTATACATGTGTGTTCCAACCTGTTGACAATATATCCTGTTTACTGTATTACTTGTTTCATTCAGTTACCTGCTGTTGCCACGACGTGGTGATGTACCCAGAAATAGGCTATTTCCACATAAAATTGACTGTTCACAGTTTGAAATAGGCTATTTACATATACAAAAAGGCATTTTGCACGTGGTGGTGGTGATGATGGTGGTAGGTGCAATGGTGGTGAATGTGGTTGGTGATGTCTAGTACCACCACCAGGAGTTGGTTGCAAGCTAAGCTACACTCAAACAACACGAAGGGTAAAATCAAACATATTGTCACGCATTAATTTCAGATTACACAAGATCCGATATTTACACATCAAATTCAGCGCACGCGTAAAATATACATATTATCTATTCATGTATTAATGAATGCAGCTATTGATACATGTATTAATTCAGTTATTCACTAAGCCTACAGCTGCACCAGCAGAACACGTCACTCAGAGATTTTAGTGGGATTTTGTCGTAATGTCGATGCACTTTTTACCATTAGTGGGTCAACCTGACTCAGTTTGGCCCGGCAAATGAGCGTATCAGTGCTACGTCCGCTTAATATGGGACATTATTTGGGACAATTTACCCACACTTGTTTCATGAGTGTATTAGATATAATTATATTAATTAATATTATTTGATTTAAACAAAATTTCATATGTTGATTTTAAACAAAATTCAACAGCGATGAATTAAGTGATATTAGGAATTGATATGAATTAATAAATTAATATTAATTAAATTTTGATGATTAATCACATTAATTTGATTAATAATCAACATCAACAATCATCACACTAAGGGACTGGATCCCATTTTATGTCGGGCTAAAGAGTCGGACCCACATAAGGGCAAAAAGTGCATCAGTAATTAGGACAAATTTCCACTTATTTCTTTGAGTGCAACCAAAAAACTGTAATTCTGGCCCAGAGAAAAATAATTTTTTTTCTCTGGGCTGGTGAAATGTTTTTTCCAAACATTATAAATAAAATTTTTTATTTATAAATAATTCTCCCCATACTTTTGTTCTTGACAAAAATTTTTTCACAATTTTTTTTCTAGGTCTATAAAAAAAATTCAACATTCTTTACCGTGAATACAACATAAGAATATAAATATTCTTATGTTGTGTATTATATAATTATATAGATGTTGTATTATATATATAATTATACATAAAACTCTGAATATTTCATCAACAAAAATTATTGTGTTAGAAAACTAATGATAAATAAAATAATTAATAAAAACAAGGATCTGGAGGAATCGTAATTAAGCCATGACGCTAATGAGGGATTTTAATAATCAATAATTAATTAGATTAATTGAATAAATGGATAAGAAATTAATAGGTTGAACTAGGATGAAAAAAATAGGGAGACAATTTAGGGTAAAAATAGGATCCCTAGAAAAGAGGAAGACAATTTAGGGTACAAATAGGGTACCTAGAAAATAGGAAGACAATTTAGGGTACAAATAGGGTCCCTAGAAAATAGGAAGACAATTTAGGGTACAAATAGGGTCCCTAGAAAAGAGGAAGACAATTTAGGGTACAAATGGGTCCCTAGAAAATAGGAAGACAATTTAGGGTCGCAATGTAGCACCTTTAAATAGGAATAACTTGTAATAAACTCGATTTAGATAACAATACATCGCCATACAAACATGTATGGCTTATACATGTTTGAATATAAATTATACAAATGTGTGTGGCGAGCTTTACTTGAATGATTAAAAATTCAAGAAATATATAAACTAATTTGATTATTCATAACAAACTTACAATGTAATTTCACACAGGAATTTTAATACAAGGTCATACGGGAAATTCAAATACCAACGACACAGGGTAATTCAAATGCTAAAAATCATACGAGAATTTCAGTAAAAATTCATACAGAAATTCAAATACGAAACACAGGGAAATATAATTACACAGACACACAGGATTTTTAAAAAGAGAAGCTATCCACACAAATTTCAATCCTGTATGTAGCTGTATAGTGGGAGTGTTTATGCAGTATTCAGGGCGAAGTAATCTGTATATAAATGAGGTATACATTTTTGCAATCGAAAATTCAAATGAATTTTCGAAAAAAATGGAAAAAATTACATCTTCTTATCTATACTGCGATTCTAAAACATATATCGAGATTGACCAATTTCACCCAGAAATAGGCTATTTCCACATTAAAATCGACTGTTTACAGTTTGAAATAGGCGATTTACATACAGTATTATGCTATTTCCACAAACAAAAAGGCATTTTCCACGTAAAAATAGATTATTCTTACCTCAAAATAGGCGAATACCATTTATAAATATGCCAAGTCGACATGGAAATCGGCAATTGCCGCACGAAAATAGGATATTTCGACTTGAAAATAAAAAATTTTGACAAGAAAATATGAAATTTCGACACGAAAATGGGAAATTGTCTCTGAATTTGTCAATTTTTTTCCACGAAATAATAAAATAAATATATGAGATTTCCACCCTAGAAGTAACCGTATGCAGACAACAGTGACTGTAACAGTGACTGTAGCAGTGACTATTACAGTGACTGTAACAGTGACTGTAACAGTGACTGTAACAGTGACTGTAACAGTGACTATTACAGTGACTGTAACAGTGACTATTACAGTGACTGTAACAGTGACTGTAACAGTGACTGTAACAGTGACTGTAACAGTGACTGTAACAGTGACTATTGCAGTGACTGTAATAAATATATTGTGAAAAATAAAACTCTAGGGACTTGATCTTTATTGTCACCGCGAGAACAGCAACAAAAAACAATCAATTGTAACCATTAAAGAAACGATAACAAATTGATCGTGTACCGGCATTCATAGTTATCACGATAACAAGTTCTCTACATCAACATTTTATCATCGGACATGCTTATCATTGGAGAAATTTATAATGTTTGTCCGGTATTAACTGTATGTTTAACACAATAACACATTTGTGTTGTGGGAGCTGCATGTGTTAACACAATACACATTTGTGTTGTATTAGCTGTATGTTTAACACAATAACACATTTGTGTTATGGTAGCTGCATGTTTTAACACAATTACACATTTGTATTGTAGTAGCTGTATGTTTAATACAATACACATTTGTGTTGTATTAGCTGCATGATTTAACACAATACACATTTGTGTTGTATTAGCGGCATGATTTAACACAATACACATTTGTGTTGTAGTAGCTGCATGTTCTAACACATTAATACAGGTTCATTCAACCACACACATATCTCCATTTCATACAACCTTAATAACATCGAAAAAATTGCACACATTTTATTATGTTCGCCTATAAATGTTCTAAAATGCATATACGGGCAACGATATACAAAAAATACGAGGATCTGAAAAAAAGTGTATAGAAATCGATCTCTAAAAATTCATGCATAGTTTGAGATTCACTCGATTATTTGTAAATTATTTTTCGTTTACAAAAAAGAAATCTAAAAACAATTATACAAAATATCGGATCTTTTTTTTTGTGTCGAGAATTCGTAACAAAATTCATATCTTTGATTCAGTGGCCAAAAATTCATACAGGATAAAATTCAGCGACAGTGAAACTACGAATTCAGTGTAATTCGTAAAATTTTATAATCGAAAAACCATGAAGTGAAGCAATGAATCAAATTTTCGAGATAAGTTCTTATAATAACTCGAGCTTCAGCACTGAGAAAAATGTACAGGTCAAATGATCTAAATAGTGACAAACATAGCACTTATACGCACCTATAACTAAATCAAGATGACCAACAGAAGGAAAAAAAACTGCGTCGATATTAGGACAAAGTCCAACTCATTTCTCTCAGTAAGGTTTACGTCTAAAAAGTTCAGCACGCAACTTAAGTTAGAACATATAAAGTTTATGGAGGCAGCCATAGGCTTGCAAGGCACCACTCGTGTTTCAAGTCCTTAGTTCAACAACTTCGCGTCTTCTAAGTTCAACAACTTATTTTTTGTTTCAATTTGACGATCTTTTTCTTCTATAAAGTTGAACAACTTTTTCTTCTTTCAAGATGAACAACTTTTTCTTCTTACAATTTGACGATCTTTTTCTTCTTTCATGTTCAAAAACTTATCTTCTTTTAAGATGAACAAATCATTTATCTGTAAAGTTCAACAACTTTGCAAATTCTAAGTTGAATAACTCAGCCCATTTCATTTAGAAATTCCATTTTTAAGTTGAACCCTTTAGCCACTTCAAGTAGAAAAACTTGACCTCTCTCACGTTGAACATTTATTATTGTCATAATAAATTGTAATTGTAAATGTTGTTATTCATTATTGAACCCTTCCCTCTATTGTCAAGTATTCAATAAAAAATGCGTTTACACGTTTTTTATCCAGCAAGAGTTCAAAAAATGTGAAGATCTCACATTCGATATATTACAGAGAAAAGTGTTAGTAATTGAAGTCGAAATAATTAAACTTCTAAACATATTATTTTTCACTAAAATATTACATTTCTACAGCAATTTTCAATGTCAAATCTCATAACTAATTTTGTAAAGACAATTAATTTTACTTTGGCTTCACCGGAAGCCGATCTAGGGAAATAATCAGAGGTAAAAATAATTAATTGAGTTTTTCGATAAAAATATGTAGTGTAGAGTACCGTAAAACGGGGTGACTTGGACAAATTTTAGCGCAGGCGCTTATTGTGATAAAAATAGTCACATAGTAAATATATAAAATATCTCTCAATTGCATTTGTAGGCCATCTCATGGTACTTTCAAGAGCCAGTAATACAATTTTTCTAGAGCAAAAACTTTTCGAGTAACAGGGTTGTCTCTCCTTAAAGTCAAAACGGTCCAATCCTACTAAAATTTCGATGCGTACGCTACTCTGCATCAGGGCCGCCTAGGACTGGGATATCGTGTAAATCAGCCGCTCATGTTCCCTTCAGCTCAGGGTTTGAAAGGCAGCTGCCCTATCAAAATTTTTAGCTGGTGGCCCTATCAAAATTTTTAGCTGGTGGCCCTATCAAAATTTTTAGCTGGTGGCCCTATCAAAATTTTTAGCTGGTGGCGAGCCAGCGATCAGTTGGCCAACTGACCCAGAATAACTCTAACGCGAACATGGCAACTCTGGGGCAGAGGCTGAAGCATACCCCGAATTTTGTTAGGGTGCATGGCTAGCTCGGCAAGACTCGGCTCGGCCAACTCTCGTCATACTCTCAGGTAACTATTAAGTCGGATATTAGATTCTGACCAGAAGCTGATTACGATCGGATGACCAAGCAGACCCAGAATAACTTTGCGCCGAGTGTAGCGACTCTTCGGCGAAGCTTAGTCAGTCCCCGAATTTTGTTCGGGAAGTCACCCCGTTTTACAGTATCCTTCGTGTATAGTATGCAACAAAAAAGTTTTCACATAATAGGGAATAATTTAAAATATCTTTAAAACGTTAATTGAAAGAGTCGCAGATGTCGTTTAAATTATTTTCTACGTGCCAGGGATTCATCTGTGGTTGTCTTCAAAGTTGATGTCTGTTGAATTAATCTGTCGAATTTGATTGCAGTGTTCGCATGCTTCAACCCCCATCCATCAATCCCCTAATCGAACCCATCATCAAACCACTCAAATTATGTGACACACTCAAACTGAGTACCCAAATCCAACTCCAATCGAACCCATCACCATACCACTCAAATTGGGTGCCCCACTCAAATGGAGTGCCCCACTCCAAATACGTGCACCACTCCAGACAGATCCCCCCTTTTCACAAACGTGACACCGGCTTCATGACCTGCTCCTGCAAGTGGATCAGAACCTCTGTTCTGACACAACACGCCGCCATGTTGGGGGCGGCGAAGGTTGGGTTGGGGAAAGAATAGGTTACCTATTCTTTCGGTCCACTGCTTCATCACTAAACCGAAACACCCCCTCATAACCTGACCTACCCACTTCCATGTCACTTAACCAACCTACTTTCTCACCAACCAATATTCCAGTCACAATATTTTGGCATGGCAATCCCTACCCTCCCTCCCCTCCCGGTGACAGTTATGTCCGTTGGACAATTCCTTTTTGATCGCATTAATTAACATCCAAAGCTACAGGGCTGGGTTAGATCTGTCCCCCAGACCCAATATTGCACGCAGAGCAGTGTTGCAGAGGGCGGTGTTGCAGAGGGCGGTGTTGCAGAGGGCGGTGTTGCAGAGGGCGGTGTTGCAGAGGGCGGTGTTGCAGAGGGCATTATTACAGAGGGCGGGTAAAGTTGGCAGGGAAGAGCCCCTTCTCGTTGTTGGCCACCTTGTAGCCACACAGCCACCCCTCCTCCTGCGAACGTTCAAACCAAATTAACCGAAGTTACTCCCTAAAAACTTAACCGTTTTTCTCGCTATACTATAAAGGAAGGATACCTTGTACTGTACAAAGATAGGACAATGTGAAACTCGAGGTATTTTATTTGGGCTAAACCCTTCCATGGCAACTAAACTACCCCCTTTCTAGACAATTAACATTAACCCTTACCACCCAATAGCTTGCACCTTCAATCGTCACCAGACCGACCACCCAGTTAGTCGTCCCAGTTAACTTGGGTACGTACTAGATAATTTTGCCACCTTAAGTACCAACCAAGACGTGGTCCTCGTACCTGTTCCTCAGGGACCTCGTACCTGTTCCTCAGGGTCCTCGTACCTGTTCCTCAGGAATCCTCGTACCTGTTCCTCAGGGTCCCCGTACCTGTTCCTCAGGGTCCTCGAACCTGTTCCTCAGGGTCCTCGTACCTGTTCCTCAGGGTCCTCGTACCTGTTCTTCAGGGTCCTCGTACCTGTTCACCAGGGTCCCCGTACCTGTTCCTCTGGGTCCTCGTACCTGTTCACCAGGGTCCTCGTACCTGTTCCTCAGGGTCCTCGTACCTGTTCTTCAGGGTCCTCGTACCTGTTCCTCAGGGTCCTCGTACCTGTTCCTCAGGGTCCTCGTACTCGACTACGTTGATGATCTCGCCCACGTCGAAGGAGAGCTCGTCCACGTCCTCCTTGTCGTACTTGTAGGTCGTGCGCACCTGGTACAGCACCCCGGCCGGCAGCCCCTGGGTGGTGGCGCCTGTAGCGGCATGGGGAGTTATGGGGGGGGGTAGTGTATTGGGGGTGATGAGGGATGGTGGCGCATGCCACGGGATGGGGGGTTATGGTGGTAGTGTATTGGAGGGTAATGAGGGATGATGGCGCATGCCACGGCATGGGGGGGATTATGATGGTAGTGTATTGGAGGGTAATGAGGGATGGTGGCGCATGCCCCGGCATGGAGGGGGGTTATGAGGGTAGTGTATTGGAGGGTAATGAGGGATGGTGGCGCATGCCCCGGCATGGAGGGGGGTTATGAGGGGACGAGGGGTGGTGGTGCATGCCACGGCATCAGGGGTTATGAGGGGACGAGGGGTGGTGGNCCACGGCATGAGGGGTTATGAGGGGATGAGGGGGTGGTGGCGCATGCCACGGCATGGGGGGTTATGAGGGGATGAGGGGATGGTGGCGCATGCCACGGCATGGGGGTTATGAGGGGATGAGGGATGGTGGCGCATGCCACGGCATCAGGGGTTATGAGGGGGTGGTGGCGACTGGCACGGCATCAAAGGTTATGGGGTGGTGTATTGGGGGAAGCAGGTCGAAGGTAGAGTGTTGAGGAGGGGATGGATAATGAAAATGGACATGTACACGGGAATAATGAATGGGTCATTGTCCAAATAGCGACATACTTTCATACCTAAAGCAGGTTCAGAGAATGGACGTATCACTGATACGTCTTTTTTCCAGGCCAAAATCGGTTAGGATGACCCACAGATGAGCAGAAAATGCATCGCTATTTGGACAATTACCCATTAAATTCACTGAGTGTGTACAATGATACCTAAAATTATGATAGATGATAACACCAACAATAAAACAAATCATGTAGCACAAAATATTTATACATAGACTATGCTATTAAATTATACATGGAAATTACACTTTCCAAAGAGAGGTGTAGCAAGACAAGACTAGCAATTAATAGTGTATAGATTGAATGACTTTTGAATGCCATTGAGACATCACGAGAGTTTAGTAATAAATGGTGTGTATGGTTCTAAACAATATACAACTGAAGCCATTTATAGTGATAGGTACAAGAGATCAAAATAAACCACTTCACCACTAACAAGTTCCACAACAAATGAAAGTAATACTATTTATGATAGTAGTTTGTAGTACAGCTACTGTGAGGTGTACACGTAATAGCTACCTACACACATGGCTAACTATTTCACACAACTGAAAGTAGGTGGCGATAAACCATGACTAAATATTAAAAGGCTTAGAGGCTATATATTAAAAAATATTCACTATGTCATTAGAAACGACATTAATAATGTTAAGTTTCAGAGCAGAAAATAGGACAATTGGAATGCAAAATAAATATAAACTTCAACAAGAAGCAGTTACCAAGTTCAGGGAAATGTTTGAATTGTGATATCAATAACACAAGATATTGATATTAATAATACTGGTCAAACAAGCACACAGTTACAGGAGAACAAAGTATACATGATATGTATAAGAGGAAAGATGTAGTTGAGGTGGTTTTGTGTTAGGTAGAAAGTGAATCAATTTGGTGTGTGGGTAAATGAAGAGGGTCTATTAGGGTTAGGCAAATATCTATGGGATAAGCAAGTACCGTATCTATGCTGGAGGTGGGTATCTATAGAACAACTAGCTAGTGGAAAATAGGTAAGTACTATGAGTTGTACTATGATTTGATCAAAAGTCCAGTCTAGTCAAGAAAAGTGCAAGAATCGGCGACAGGCCTATTCAGGCCTATTCTTCAATACCAAAGATACTATACTATGCTATACTATACTATAGGTACTAGTTGTCATGAAGTGACACAAGTGATAAAATGGAAGCAAGGTTATGTACCATCCAAGGTAATTATCAACAAAAAAATGAAAAGCTGATGATAATAAGCGATATCAACAGTAGACGGTAGAGAAGAAGCAAGTGGTAATATAAGGGTGAATAAGTGATAACAAAACTTGTACATGTAGATGAAGGCATTTCAAGTACTCGTGAACGGTCAGTGGTTCTAACGGTGGATACTGGTGAATAAATTCTCTTTCTTGGGTAGTTAGTAGATGCTTCCAGTGGTAGAAACGACTAGTTCTTTAGGACGGTACAAGTGATAGGTAAACATGGACAATATATGTACGTGTGGGCACTACAGCTAGGTACAAGGGATATGTGTGGGCACTACATGTAGGTACAAGTGATATATGTGGGCATTTGAGGTAGGTACAAGTGATATATGTGGGCACTTAAGGTAGGTACAAGTGATATTTGTGGGCACATAAGGTAGGTACAAGTGATATATGTGGGCACTTAAGGTAGGTACAAGTGATATGTGTGGGCACTTAAGGTAGGTACAAGTGATATATGTGGGCACTGCAGGTAGGTACAAGTGATATATGTGGGCATTTGAGGTAGGTACAAGTGATATATGTGGTCACTGCAGGTAGGTACAAGTGACATATGTGGGCACTACAAGTAGGTACGTACAAGACAAGTGATAAATGTGGGCACTACAGGTAGGTACAAGTGATATATGTGGGCACTACAGGTAGGTACAAGTGATATATGTGGGCACTACAGGTAGGTACAAGTGATATATGTGGGCACTACAGGTAGGTACAAGTGATATATGTGGGCACTACAGGTAGGTACAAGTGATATATGTGGGCACTACAGGTAGGTACAAGTGATATATGTGGGCACTACAGGTAGGTACAAGTGATATGTGGGCACTACAGGTAGGTACAAGTGATATATGTGGGCACTACAGGTAGGTACAAGTGATATGTGGGCACTACAGGTAGGTACAAGTGATATGTGTGGACTACAGGTAGGTACAAGTGATACATGTGGACACTACAGGTAGGTACAAGTGATACATGTGGGCACTAAAGGTAGGTACAAGTGATATGTGGGCACTATAGGTAAGTAAAAATGAAATACGTGGGCACTACTGGTAGGTACAAGTGATATGTGTGGGCACTATATAGGTAGGTACAAATGATACATGTGGGCACTACTGGTAGGTACAAATGAAATACGTGGGCATTGCAGGTATAGTTGCAGGTAGTAAGAGTAGGTTCATAAGTGGTAAGTATGACTCACCGACTGGAATATCGTACACTTCATCAGTTTTGTTATCTGAGGATGAGAACAGAAGATCAGGTCAGGGGGGGAGGGTCCACATGCTCAGGGTACACTCAGGGAAATTAATGGCTCATATTATCCAAATAGCGACGCTCTTTCTTGACCACAGAAGAAGACGTGGCACTGATACGATATTTTGTCGAGCAAAACTAGGTCACGATGACCCACAAAAGGGGGAAAAGTGCACTGTTAGAAAAAACGGTCCCACTGGCGTTCTAGTGGCCGGTCGCCCCGTGAAAATAAACTGTTTCGCCGTTTTTATCAGATGTTTTACGGATTTTTAGTGTTAAATTAAAATAAAACCGGCAAAACGGTGTTTCTTTTTACGCGCCGACCGGCCACTGTAACGCCGGTAATACCGTTAACGCCGGTAATACCGTTAACGCCGGTAATACCGTTAACGCCGGTAATACCGTTAACGCCGGTAATACCGTTAACGCCGGTAATACCGTTAACGCCGGTAATACCGTTAACGCCGGTAATACCGTTAACGCCGGTAATACCGTTAACGCCGGTAATACCGTTAACGCCGGTAATACCGTTGAAGGTAACTTTTCTAACAGTGTGCATCGTTATTCGGACAAAGTCTCACTCATTTTCCTGATTGTAAGACGGGTGCAGGGGAACAAGTAGGGGTACAATGACAGTGGGACAAGGGGTACAATCTTATTATAGTAAATTGAATATAAACTTGTTTAAATAATTATATATTAAAACGAGAAATGCAACATCTGACATGCAAAACAGAATGTTCAGACTTTATATGAAACAATTTGAAGATCGCTTCATTAAAAGCAATGTAAATTGTTAGTGAAATTATCACTTGATCAAATTTTGAGTAATTATGGGTTGAATTAATCCAAATTATACACATAGTAAAGATCATTCAAAGAAGGTAAATGAAAAATAACAAAGATAGAGAAACTGGAGCAGCCAGACAAAGGCAAGAAGTGCATCACAACTTGGACATATATTATACATATATATTATATATTATATATATATTATATAAATATTAGATATATATATATCAATATACACAGACTGAATGAAGAAGTTACCTCACAATAAAGTATTAAGCCTCAAAATGCACTCAAATTAAGTTCAAGTAATTTATTTAAAAAGTTCATTAGGTAAAACATGTCATATGACAATATTTTTCTGAAAAAAATTATTCAGGAGAAGTTGGCAAAGAAAGCAGACTGAATTTAAACAGAGTTACGAAGAAGGCAAACTGAATTTAAATAGAAATAATGATTATGGAAGACAATATTTTTGAAAACAATAAAGAAATCTCAATGGATAACAGATAACATGCAATGGATAAATAATAATGTAGACGGTATGTATCAAAATAATTCAAGGCTAGCATGACTGAGCACCAGTAAGAACATTCAAGAAATATTGATGGGTAACTCGGCAAAAAGATGTATAATAAAACTTTAGGATAACATAAATATATTTGATGATTGAAGATGATAAACCTATAGTGGATAATTAGGGAGAATACATATAATTAATGATAATATATAATTAATATAAATAATTGGATTATTGATAATTAAGCGGCAAAACTTTATGATAGTATACATATACTTGACGATTGAAGATAATATACCTATAATTAATGCTCAAAGAGATCATTGATGCTTGAAGATAATATAGTACCTATAATTGATTATTAAAGAGATATTTGATGATTGAAGATAATATAGGTACCTATAATAGATGCTTAAAGAGATAATTAATGATTAAAGGTTATATAAATTTAACTTATATTAGGAGATGACATACATATTATATTATTGAATTTTATTAAGAGATGAGATACAAATAATATTATTATATAATTGAACAAGTCACCCATGCAGGGACTAAGCATGGGTGACTTATTAAAGAGATATTTGATAATTGAAGATAATATACCTTTAATTGATTATTAAAGAGATGATTGATGATCAAAAATAATATCGATTTGACTGATGATAAGAGGTAAGATACACATTATATTTTTAAACAAGTCACCCATGCAGGGGCTAAGCACGTCACTGACCAGGAGGCACCCGCGTGCCCACGACGCCCGCAGGAGGGGCGCCGCCGTTCACCTTCGCCCCAGGGGCGTCGTCGAACTGGATCTCCTCGTAGGGCCTCCCCACCTCCTCCCTCCCCAGCCTGCGGGGCGGGGGGTGAGCGACATTAATGTAGGGATAACATTAGTAAAATAAAATGCACTTTATTTGCTATAAATAAATTGCCTTTATGATAAAGTAACCCTGAATCTTGACAGAAACCATTAGTTACTGTGCAGTAACCAGTAGTTACTGTGCAATAACCATTACTTACTGTGCAGTAACCATTAGTTACTGTGCAGTAACCATTAATTACTGCTCGGGTTAAGTGTTCTCAGTAACAGAATTAAATCGTTCCTTAAACTGATAAAAATTATTAATGTTTTTTGTTAATTCAAGGTTTGAAAAGAACCACATTCACAGGCACGCAGGCTTAACGTGGGTTAAAATAAAGGGTTAAACCAGAACCTTTAGGATACAAGGGCACCATGGCGGTCCTGGTAACGTGAGGACTTAGGGGTCTACATTAGGTCAAACAGAACACATGTTTTTTTGAGTGATATCAGAGTTAAACATGTCGTATTATGAGAACATGCGGAACATGTTTGTTGTTATTAATATTATGTCTGTCTTTACAGACAGCACCCCACCCGTCTTTAGACAGCACCCCACCCGTCTAAAGACAGCACCCCACCCGTCTACAGACAGCACCCCACCCGTCTTTAGTTAGACAGCACCCCACCCGTCTAAAGACAGCACCCCACCCGTCTACAGACAGCACCCCACCCGTCTTTAGTTAGACAGCACCCCACCCGTCTATGTGGTGACATCGCAGTGGTGGTGGTGGTGGTGGTCATTACAGACAGCACCCCACCCGTCTACAGACAGCACCCCACCCGTCTACAGACAGCACCCCACCTGTCTTCTCGCGAGTGTTCAGGGGTATCATTAGGTGGTGATATATCATCATCATCTTGACAGTCGTCATCATTGCGTGGTGACATCGCAGTGGTGGTGGTGGTGGTGGTGGTTACAGATGGTTCATCCACGAACCATCTGAATGGTTGTTAGCAAACAAACAAACGGGGGTAAGGGTTCAAACAAGGGCTCAAAAATTTGGTTTAATAAAATGAAAGGGTTAGAAAAATGTAATAAAATGTTTTAAGAAAAATAAGGGCATAAGTACAGCTATCATTGCTGTACTTATCAACAAAATGGCTAACGAGAGATGAACCGAACTGGACAAGCGGGCAAAAGCAACACTTAAATGACAATATAAATGACATCTCAAATGTAAATACAACAAGAGGGAAATAAATATGGGAAAATATAGATAAATAATGGATTACGTTATATTTTTATTAGTGATTTTTGTTTTGGTAGGGCAAACTCTAAACGCAGTTCGTCTAAATAACAGAACGCATGTCGCCTTTCACAAATAGAGGGGTTATAGCATAAAAACACATTCGAGCGTTTTCTACGAAACTGCAAGTAGAAAACGAATATTTAGCCTTAACTTCGATAGAATGAAACTTGCATTTATACGAATTTATCACTCGGTGCTCACAGTATTTACAAGTTCTGATTCTTTTGAGCAAAGTTATGTTAATTGTAATAGTAAAAATGGCGTGAAGATTAAATTTGAAATTATTTCTCATAAAACTTCAAAATTTTAACATGAATGCTTCTGACTCTACTCGATCTTTCCAGATAAACATCGTAATGATGAAGATACTCAAAAAGTAATAATTTATATATAAATGGCCAAGGAGTCAAGGACCAAAGCTATTAAGCATGATTTTCCCGTGTCTGACATACGGAAATTAATGAAGTAAAGAAGCATATTTTCCCCAGCGATTTTCAAGACCCACTACATCTTTTTCAGCCGCGATTTTCGGGAAATTTCGCCCGACATTCCAGACTGGCGAATCGCATGCGGGAAGGAAAGATGCCAACGGATAAGATTAAAGTTGACCCACAAGATATGTTAACCCAAATGTTAAGTTGAACGTCACAAGACATGCGGTTACACACAAAAATGTTTTGCTCTTTGGTTATTCGTCATTCAGGGATTTTTTACCTTTAAAAGTAACATGCAATTCGATTGCGTGGGAATGAAGAAACAAAATAATTGCTTTGAAGGACAAATTTTTTGAAATATATTCAATGAAACTTCCATAAAAAATAAAAGCGTTGTAAAGTTATGTTCCATCTATTTCGTAACGAGAAATAAGTACGTAATATTAATGGTATAAATCGTTAACTTTTGAAAAACTTTAATAAATAAATGGGTTGAACAATTTGCAAGCATCCATGCAGCAGGTAACAACTCCAGGTTAATATATCAGGTTAAAAAATGGAGGATTGAGGAGGATAAAGGATAAAAATCCTGCTAACTCTAGTATATGTAACTATGAGACGCGTAAGTTTTAAGATAGCACGAGGTGAAAAAATTGAAAATTAAAACAATAATTGTATATTATGACTGAACTTGCAACATCATACAAGAAAAACAAAGTTGATTCGTACAGTTTTACTAACTAAAATTTGTTGTAGTTTGTAGGTAGGTGAGGTAGGGTGACACCTAGTAACTACCACGTACTGGGGTGTGTAGGTAGGTGAGGTAGGGTGACACCTAGTAACTACCACGTACTGGGGCTTGTTGGTAGGTGAGGTAGGGTGACACCTAGTAACTACCACGTACTGGGGCTTGTTGGTAGGTGCGCTGGTAGGGTAGGCACCTAGTAACTACCACGTACTGGGGTGTGTATGTAGGTGGGGTAGGGTGACACCTAGTAACTACCACGTACTGGGGCTTGTTGGTAGGTGCGCTGGTAGGTACTGAGGCGGTGCTGACAGGTCGTGGGGTGCTCGGGGTGCCTCTGGTAGTGTTGTACTTGCCAGTCCTGGCCTCAGCTACCAGCTTCTCGCTGATACTTTCCATTTCCTGGGCAACCTGCAACCATATCAACATGGTAACTGGCAACCACACCACCATGGTAACTGGTAACCAGACTAAAAATTTAAACAACCAGTAAATCCGATCAATTGACTAATAATTGCATCCGATAACATTAATCAAACCTACATTTATACGCATTGGGACTAAAAGTAACCAAAGCTGCCATAAAATAAAAGTGGCAACATAGAATTGTCTTAGAAATTAAAATTTTGATCTCAGCCAGCGGTGGCCCCACATGGCCCCACCTTAGCACTCCCCCACATGGCCCCACCTTAGCACTCCCCCACATTAGCACTCCCCCATATGGCCCCGCATGGCCCCACCTTAGTACCCCCCCATACTCCCCCACATGGCCCCACCTTAGCACTCCCCCATATGGCCCCGCATGGCCCCACCTTAGCACTCCCCCATATGGCCCCGCATGGCCCCACCTTAGTACCCCCCCATATGGCCCCACATGGCCCCACCTTAGCACTCTCCCGCATGAAGGTGGCCTCAGCGGCGTAGAGCGTCTGCAGGGCCTCGGCCGTGCGCCCCACGCGCTCGTCGTACACGCCGGGCAGCTCCTCGTAAAGCTCCTGCGGGGGGAGNGGGCCAGCTGGTCCCAGCAGTACCCACCTTATTAAGAGCATGGTAGGTGGTGCGGGCCAGCTCCAGCTGGTCCCGGCAGCGGGCCAGCTGGTCCCAGCAGTACCCACCTTATTAAGAGCATGGTAGGTGGTGCGGGCCAGCTCCAGCTGGTCCCGGCAGCGGGCCAGCTGGTCCCAGCAGTACCCACCTTATTAAGAGCATGGTAGGTGGTGCGGGCCAGCTCCAGCTGGTCCCGGCAGCGGGCCAGCTGGTCCCAGCAGTACCCACCTTATTAAGAGCATGGTAGGTGGTGCGGGCCAGCTCCAGCTGGTCCCGGCAGCGGGCCAGCTGGTCCCAGCAGTACCCACCTTATTAAGAGCATGGTAGGTGGTGCGGGCCAGCTCCAGCTGGTCCCGGCAGCGGGCCAGCTTGTAGTCGTCCCGGCGTCCCGAGCGCTGCAGGGCCTCCAGCTGGTGACGCTGGCTGTCGTAGTCCACCAACTTGCGACCGCGCTTCTCGATCTTCTTCTGCTCGCGTACCGTATCATCAACATTTAGCATTATTTATCGTCACTATCATCATTTATCATCATCTGTCATCATTTACCATTCTTTATTGGTAACACATTGCGTTTGTTATAATACCATAAATATAATTATATAATATATACCTAGTAATAATAATAATATAATACCATATCTATAATACCAATATATATTGGATATTATTGGTATAATATATGCATATTTACATGTATGATATAATATATAGGTACATATTATAGGTAGTACGTTTATGATATGTGAATTTATTCTGTAAAATTAATTCCAGTAGTAGTGCGATATATTCACAAGATTGTTATTACTTGCTTAGCCCCAGTATAAAATTATAATTGAATAAACGGTTAGAAAAATTCTGCTTGTCTCTCATTTCTTGTTACGTAACGTGAAGCACGACATAAATCATCAAAAAATTACCAAAGTTACCAAAAATTACTTACAAGAAGCTTCGTACAACCAATTGTTAGACACGAGTTGGAACTTAAAGAACTAGAAACAGTACCTGCCATCATTTAAACGTCTAGAAGAAGGTATAGAGAAACGTTTAAAAATGTCTAAAAAAATGTCAAAAGCGTCTTAAAAGGGTCTCGAAAAAACTCTAGAAAAAGGTCTAAAAAAAGGTCTACATAAAGGTCTAAAAAAATATCTAAAATAAGTCTAGTAAATAATCTAGAAAAAGATCTAGAAAACGTCTACAAAAAGGTCCATAAAAAGGCACAAGGCTCACTCTGATCTCGGGGAAGTGTATCTGGTAGGCAGTGAGCGGTGCTAGGGTCTGATCCTGGAGTCTGTGCACAAAGTCCGTCCAGAGCATGTCGCTGTTCTGGGCCTGGGCGTAGACCAGCTCCTGTCCAGCCCAGTCCGTCTCGTAGACATCGGCTAGGGTCTCGTAGAGCGCCTTGCTAGCCCCGTGTAGCGCTGCGGCGAGAGGGGGTATCGTCAGAGTTGGTGTAGGTACTGTGGGTATCGTCAGAGTAGGTGTAGGTACTGTGGGTATCGTCAGAGTTGGTGTAGGTACTGTGGGTATCATCAGAGTTGGTGTAGGTACTGTGGGTATCGTCAGAGTAGGTGTAGGTCTGTCTCTTATACACATCTAGATGTGTATAAGAGACAGGNCCACTCTACCCACCTCTGGCCCACTCTACCCACCTCTGGCCCACTCTACCCACCTCTGGCCCACTCTACCCACCTCTGGCCCACTCTACCCACCTCTGGCCCACTCTACCCACCTCTGGCCCACTCTACCCACCTCTGGCCCACTCTACCCACCTCTGGCCCACTCTACCCACCTCTGGCCCACTCTACCCACCTCTGGCACAGCGCAGGTAGTTGGACACCTCCTTGTGCAGTCTGTTCGCGTTGATCTGCTGGCGGTTGAAGTTTGCTTCGTAGTCTGCAAATGTTTCGTCTGTCGTCTTGTCTGCCTTGCCAAGGTTCTGCAGGATCTGTAGGCACGGTACAGACATGTTACGACACGTCAAGGCATGTTACGACACGTTAAGACATGTTACGACATGTCAAGGCATGTTACGACACGTTAAGACATGTTACGACATGTCAAGGCATGTCCCCCACACGTCAAGACATGTTGTGACATGTCAAGGCATGTTACGACACGTCATGACATGTTGCCTACACGCGTACGACACGTTAAAAACTAATACGACATGCTACGACTAATACTGCGATGTAAATCCGACATGCTACGACTTGTATCGAATCTTTCGACAAGATAGGAACATGTTTACGACACTTTTAGGTTTGCCAGAACGACCAAGGGAAGCGCGGGGTTGTAAAAATTTTACGACATTCGCTGTACTCATAACTGAAGTCCTCATAATTACGACTTCGAAAGTTATAAACAGTTTACAAATAAACAAATTTACACGCCTCAAACGTAGAAATAAACCACAAATTGTATAAAATAGTAATAAATAAACCAAGAAATGTGTAAAATAATAATGAATAAACCATGAATTGTGTAAAATAATAATAAATAAACCACGAATTGTGTAAAATAATAAGAAATAAACCACATAGTGTGTAAAATCAACCCTAGCCCCAGCCACCTCTCCTATATTGGCTGCGCGGCGCGTGCATTCAGAAGATATTGACTTCAACTAGCATCTATCTAGCCAATCACGACTGATGCGAGAGCCAATCACCACTGATGCGTGAGCCAATCACGACTGATGCGTGAGCCAATCACGACTGATGCGTGAGCCAATCACGACTGATGCGTGGGCCAATCACGACTGATGCGTGGGCCAATCACGACTGATGCGCGAGCCAATCACGACTGATGGGTGAGCCAATCACGACTGATGCATGAGCCAATCACTACTGATGCGTGAGCCAATCACTACTGATGCGTGAGCCAATCACTACTGATGCGTGAGCCAATCACTACTGATGCGTGAGCCAATCACTACTGATGCGTGAGCCAATCACTACTGATGCGTGAGCCAATCACTACTGATGCGTGAGCCAATCACTACTGATGCGTGAGCCAATCACTACTGATGCGTGAGCCAATCACTACTGATGCGTGAGCCAATCACTACTGATGCGTGAGCCAATCACTACTGATGCGTGAGCCAATCACTACTGATGCGTGAGCCAATCACTACTGATGCGTGAGCCAATNAATGCATTGAAGATGTGTATAAGAGACAGGTATTTTTGAATACTATGCGTCTCTATACATAATTTAAATCACTTTTCCTGTTAAGTTTGTGTACTTACATACATTAAAATACGATTTTTCAAGTGTACGAATATTTATTTCCCCCACTGTATTCGAATACGTACGGAATTATATGCGAAATTTCACTTCAGGAAATGTAGATTCAGTAAAATTTACTCCTCATGATATTTCGTTCGGTTTCGTTGACCGAATGGTTAGGAGCATTAGGATTGGAGCAGCGAGTTGCGGGTTCGACAACAAGTTAGCTGTGAAAGTTTTACGGTAGGTACCGTACGTATCTAAGATCGCTGACAGACCAAAAATGGCCTAATCTTCAACGCTGACTTGACTAAATTACAATATTTTTCGTTTTTAGATTGAATTTTTTTGCAAAATGGCACACACGGCGGCAGCGTTCGCCCGTATTTTCAGTAATCCTATACGTCCTTATACAACCTAATTAATTTTAGAAATTTCGAACATCTTCCTGAAACACGGCAGACCGCGAAATAAAATATTTTGGTTGAACTTGAAATTTCGCGCCTCAATTGTGCGGTTTGCTTAAGAGCAATACACGATTTCCTAGCGACAATTGCCAAAAATGTCAGGAAAGCTCCAGTGGTTACACGAATATTAGACCCATAAATAACCTCGACTCAGTTATGTATACTGAAGAACCAATTGCGCCACCTTACCTTGGTCCTGATGCGAACAATTTTGCTGCATTGCTTCTTGAACTCCATAGTGGGTGTCCGCTTTACTGTAGAACGCGACTTTCTAGGCGAGTCCTCCCCGCCACTGCTGAACCCTCCGTTTTCTGCACCGTTTTCTTCGGTCCTGGAATTGTTCCTGTTCAAATCTCGCCGACGACGTAAGTTTTTCTGGTTCTGTACCTCCTCGTTGCCCATGTCAACATCAACGGGAAGTTCACGAAGAACAGACTTCTCGAACTTGGTGAGTGATCCAGGTTTTGCAGGGGTCCGGTCGTTTTCTCCCGAAGGTGTTTCTTCGTTAAGATCGATTTCATCAAGATGGCGAGAAGGGGAGACTCCGGCATTTCTGGACCGTTCCCCAGGGAGACTATTGATCTTCTCGATCTCATCCACAATTCTGGTTACACCACCGGAACCAACACCGGTGTCGTGTTTACCATCTTCGTCATCTTGGCTGGACCCGTTGGCAAGAACTTTTTTTGGCGAAGATACCCCTAATATCTCTCTGACAGCTATGTTTTCTTTGGTCGCGCCTACATTTTCTTTAAACGCGCCGTTTTCTTTACCCCCGTCGTTTTCTTTGATTGAAGGGGAAACGCTTCTACGAGCGGATTTTTTTGGTTTTGCAGGCGGAGTGTCGTCAAGGGGGGGAGCTGAGGTCGGAGGGGGAGGGGGTGCATCATCCAAAACGATACCTTCGTTTTTCTCTGAGGTTTCCATCATTATTTCTTATTCTTGGATTTTTATCAAAAAATCTGATAATTTTCTTACCAAACTTGGGCAAACACTGACTACTATAATAATTTTAAAAGCTTGACTTCAGGGATTAAATTTCCCTTTGGTAAAAAAGACAATAAATAAGATTGCGTTTATACAAAATCACACATTCTAAACATAATACACCGAAAACTACAACACACATACAAGGAGTTTATCACATTTCACACAAGACTCATGACAATCCATCAAACAAATTAATTAATTAGTACCCAAATTGCACACTAAGTCTTGATAGATAACATTGAATATAGTTGTCACACAAACTACTTCAATATTAGCAAAAGATTTCGAGAAAAAGAGCGGTCAGGAAAACAAGCAAAAAAATGAATAAAAATAACATAATATTTGATTAGGAGACTGTTATAAATCACGTATAGACAAGCACCATTAAAACCGGGGAAAATACGTGATTACATATATAACGTATTATAAATAAAAAATACGAGATTACAGAGCAACCAAACATGAAGGAAACTTTTGGCCCGCACAATAGAGCGTGACGCATACGGGGCACGCACCAACGCGTGGGCAAAGGGCCCAAGTGCATGGGCACTCGGGCTCGTGGGCACGAGACCGAGAAATGGAGCATGGAAGCCCGAAAGATGGGGCATACGAGCCCGAAAAGCTGGGCAAAAGGAACCCGAAAAAATAGAGCATTCGAACCCGAAAGATGGGGCATACGAACCCGAAAGATTGCAGGGCATACGAACCCGAAAGATAGGGTATACGAACCCGAAAGATGGGGCATACGAACCCGAAAGATGGGGGCATACGAACCCGAAAGATTGGGCATACGAACCCGAAAGATTGCAGGGCATACGAACCCGAAAGATAGAGTATACGAACCCGAAAGATGGGGCATACGAACCCGGAAGATGGGGGCATACGAACCCGAAAGATGGGGCATACGAACCCGAAAGATGGGGGCATACGAGCCCGAAAGATTGGGCATACGAACCCGGAAGATGGGGGCATACGAACCCGAAAGATTGGGCATACGAACCCGAAATATGGGGGCATACTAGCCCGAAAGATGGGGGCATACGAGCCCGAAAGCTGGGGCATGCGAACCCGAAAGATTGGGCATACGAACCCGAAAGCTGGGGCATACTAGCCCGAAAGATGGGGGCATACTAGCCCGAAAGATGGGGGCATACGAGCCCGAAAGATGGGGTATACTAGTCCGAAAGCTGGGGCATACTAGTCCGAAAGCTGGGGCATACTAGTCCGAAAGCTGGGGCATACTAGTCCTAAAGCTGGGGCATACGTGCCCGAAAAGATGGGCATACGCTGCCACTAGTGGAAGCAGAAGGTCACCAGCGGCAGGGTCAGCCCTCTCCCCCCCCCCGACCCCCTGCCTCCTTATAAGGGGGGAAACTGACGACGTGGGCAGCCCCCTCATACCCCCACCCACTGGGGGTGGGGAGGGGTGGGGGGAGAGGCAGGAGTGAGTCAGAAGGATCACCCCCGCCCACCTGGCTCACATGGCTGGATTATGGCCGCCGTATCGGCGCCGAATGGGCGGCCATCGCCCGGCACTGAACATCATGTAATAAATGCTCCATACATTAAGTCATAATTGTATAGAATATTTTGCATTAAATTAGTCGGAACGCATAGAATATTGTGCATTAAATGCGTTGAAATAAATGTAACGCAAGGTACAAAATTTGTACGTGTACGGAATTGTTGAATGTACGAAGGCACATGTACGGGCTCGGAGGTACTAAAGGTACGAGAGTACGTGTGCGGAAGTACTCACACACTGTACAGTACACAGCAACTACACACAATGCCTACACAGAGTACACTACACAGCAATGTTCCGCACCACCAAACGAGTTTATTCATTAATAATAATAAAAAATGACCGGAAGTAACATACGGGAAGTAAGTGAGTAAAAAATGGGTCAGACGGACCCACTATGGGGCCATGCCCATACTGGGCCCGCAGCCTTCACTAGGGGGCATATGGAGGGGGGGGTACCTACCCCCTCCCCTCCTAACCCCCACGGGAAATTGTTAATGAATTTTTAGATCGACGATTAGCGTGGAATTTAATTGATTATGTGGAATTTAAAAGTAAATAATTATATCAAGTTCAAATTTAATATAATTAATGAAAATATGAATTAATTGTACTTAATTTAATCCATTATGTGGAATTTAATTGACCCTAAATTCGACACGTTGACTCTTTATTGGTACATAATTCAGGATTGCCAGATGGCCTTAAACGGCCAAGTCCACGAACAAAAAAGGCCAAAGAGGCCTATAATTAAATATATATGTAGGTACTAGCATATTTGTAGCTTCCAGTGTCAAAATTATTTTTTTATTTAAATATAACTAGAAAGTACACCTATTCAATTTTTTTCGTTGCAGTTATTTAAATTTTTTTAGGAAGTACGTAGGTACCCTTATCATAGATATGAAAAACAACGCAATTGAAAATTAGACCGCGGAATTTGTTAAAAAAAAAGACTGTCTGTCAAGCCTTTTTTCATAATAGTACAAGAAAATGAAATAGGTAATAATTCAAGATGAAGTGTAATTGGAGTTGACGTCTTAAATGTATCTTATATATTTATTATATATTGATATTAGCGATAAATTACATACAATATACGGTATATGAATGACATAAATGTGAGAATACGTGCAAGAGATACGGTGAACATACGAGGATAGTAGTTATCACCACCCATCACCATACCATCATTTTTTGACATCATCACCACCATCATCACACCACCACCATTATTTCACCATCACCATTACCATTTCACCATCATCACAATATCACCACAACCACATCATTTCATGATGGTCATCATACATGGGTCATCTTGACACAGTTTGGACCGGTAAAGGGGTGGTATCAGTGCTATATGTACGATCGTCCGCTCTCCGCTAGTGTCGTGTACAGTATAGTTCACTAATTTAAATAAAGTTCAATAAATAATAATTCAATAAAGTTCATCACAATTCGGACAACATGACGCATTGTTTTCTCTGAGAGCACATACATGCACCGGTATCTAGGATACCGTACAAGTCGACGCGCACGCAGCGGCCGGATGAGATAGGACGGTATCCGTGATACCGGGCACACGACGTCAAACATTTGGTTTAGTGGCCCNTGGACCGAGTGGGGTGTGTGGATCGAGTGGGGTGAGTGGACCGAGTGGGGTGAGTGGACCGAGTGGGGTGAGTGGCCCGTAAAGAAGTTCATACAAAATTATGATAGATTTTTAGACCATTCAAAGTCCAACACGACACGTAGCATGTATACGGGCCTCAAATACAAATTTAATACAAATTCATAAACATCTTTGTATGGACCACCATACAGGCTCGTATAGTTACATGCAACACAAGTAAATCTAGTACTGTATTTCTTGTATGAATAAGTGAATTTAATACGAAGCAAGAGGCAGGTTTTCTGTGTGAATTGAATATCTGTGTGGTAAGATATACGGTGGAGGTAAGATACGGTGGTGGTAAGATACGGTGGTGGTAAGATACGGTGGTGGTAAGATACGGTGGTGGTAA